TAATAACATTTGTAAATTTATTCCTAGTAAAATCTGTACTTTAATGATTTGTTCTAGTAAAACTAAATTTCTTCAATAATATTTAACATTCCTTAATATTACATCTTTGAAACTTCTATTTCATTCACTATAATTTGATTCTTCTTAATTACTGCTAAGCCTATGTATCAATGCTGCTTTAAATTACCTTCCTAATTCCAGTAATGATTTGTACGATCTCTCAAAGGACTAAGTATTTATGACAAGTCTCATCACACAGAATAATTACTGAAAAAAGCACCAAATTATTTTATTCCAGTCATATGATAGATGAATGTGAAATGATATTAATCAAAGCTAAAAATGAGCAAATTAAAGATTCTGTGTAGCTATGGATTTAGCAGAGATTCTGCACAGATCTAAACATTTATGATGAACTTTCAAAGAGTATTCCATATCACAGTAAGCTCTCAGATTTAACCATTTGGGAAATTCTTTGGCAATGCTGTCTGCATTCCCCACTAAGTGTGAGGAAATTCAGACTGAACTGAATTTCATAAGCAAGAGATACAGATGTCTGTCTTTTTAAGACTTCTCTAGGAGTTAATGCAGGTGCCCTGTACAAGCTAATACAGAGGTCTGGCTATTATCTATCTAGGAATCTACTTCTTGAAATAACCTGTATCAATACCTGGAATTTACTGATCCAGGTTTAAGGGTACCTGCAAAGAGGAGCTGCAAAAATAAATAAGTAAAATAAATAACAAATGTAACATAGCAAAAATGAGTGGGAGAAGGGAAGGATCAGTTGTCAATATAGTGGTTTCGTTCAGGCAGATGTGGCCTGCAGCTAGAATACTCTAAGAGATCAGCATTTATTAATCTGGCAAGTTTTAAGAAACTAATTATTATTAAAATCTAGTATTATTAGTAGGCATCAGAAATTAAAGTAATAATTCTTCCAGTGTACCACTTAAGTTAACTAGGATAAACTGGCATTCTAATGGTCTAGAAAAATTAGAGGTCCTAATATTTAATCTCTGCTGCCCATAAATCATTCAAAATGCTATAGTTCCTAAAATGTCCATTTTGTTGAATATTTCATTTTATACAAAAATAGTCAAGACTTGTTTAAATCGACTTTTATTACTATTTCTAGTATAATCTTTTATTTTCACATTTCTTATGAAATGATGTAATTTAATGATGCAATTTAATGTAAATCCAATCTCAGCACAGTATTTAATCTAACTTATCACTAAATTTATTATAAAGCCCTGAACAGGTCTTTGGAGAAGCCTATTTTTTCCTGAAATGTATATGTACTCTTTGTCTTAATAATTTTCTAGACATGTTGGTTCTCCAGCATTTAATGAGGAACCACAATTATTGTTATTTTAATGGTTTTTCATCTGAATAACAAATTTTTAAATTGCATTTCTCTCCTAAAATTAATACATTTAACACTGTGAAAATTCTATAGAAGATAGAAAAGATGTTTCAAGGAAAAGAAGTAAATCAGAGGAAACAAAAATCACTTAATGTCTATCTTTAAAATAGATTTGGGGAAAATTTTGCCTTTTTTTTTATTTGCAAAACAGTTGACTTTTTTGTTTTAACTGCATTTTAATACAATTTTTTTTTTAAAAAATACACTCTAAAGTGATATATACCCAGGTGACAATAAAATATACTTATAAATTCATTATTAGAATGCCATGCTGCCAAATGATCCAAGATATAATTATTATATTTTGGAGAACAAATTACATATACTCCAAATATTTAAAACAAAAATCCAAATTAGATGCTAACATCCAACATGAACTCTATTTTTACTTTGAGTTACAACAGTCATTTATCTGACTTCATGTTTTGCATGCAATAGATAAGAAGAGTAAGTGAACAGTAGCTGGTGTAAGGTAGCTAGGTTACAGACAACTATACCATTCTTCAAAGGTGAAAGTGTTAGACTAATATGTCCCAAAGTATGCTTTTTCAAGTTTAAAGCAGTCAACAAGACTATTTTATCTGTCCTGTAAAGAATCTGTTTCCTCTGACCTGTCATAACTAAAAAACGATAGGTTAGATATGCATGACATACTACGTATTTGATAAAGAGTTAGATACTTCTCAAGATTCAGTTGTATTTATTTGTCCTAACAGGTCAGAACTTTGAAGTTTAAATACAGTTATACTGAAAAATGTGCTCATTTAGCACAGTCTACTATAAACTTGAAATTCCACTCAGACAGCATAGAGATTTTTACGGAAAAATCCAAGAAATCCACTTAAGACTATTCAAAGCAAACAGAGAATTGGACTTTTCAACAATCCAACATTTGTTCTTTTAAGGTTCAGAGGATCTTCAGAAATACAGATGTCCCCGGCCTTAAATATTAATGCTTTCTTTTTCAGGTCTTGTTAGAATAAACAGAAAGTTCAATATTGTCACATCCTAATTAAGTGTAGAGTATATATTAAGGAGAAGAGACAAAATTGTTTTTCTTGGGGGACTAGGTTCATAAACCAATCAGTGTGTCAAAAATTAGTCACTGTGTAAGGAATGAAACAATGGAACTACAATTCAAATACAGATAAACACAATGAAATGAATCATGTTTGCAATGTGTGTAACTTCAATTCTGAGAAAAAATTTTGTCATCACTCTCTGGTTCTAAAATATCTAGATGAATCTTTAACAGTTGAATGTTTTTATCTTTTGATTTCCTGCCTTAATACTCAGATCATGGATGGTTTCATCTACATACAGATCCTTCAGGTGCACGTTGGTGCTTAGGAGTCACCTTTAAGAAATGTATGCCTTATTCCACAGTAACTAACTGTAAATATGCCTCATCCCCACCTTTACAATAGTAGCCAAGTACTACTGATTTATCAGCTCAATTAACAACTTGAAGGATAATTTTAAGGATAATTACTGGGTTCTATCACCCCCTCACCCAACTCAACAAATTTATAAAGTAAATAAAAACCATATCAGAAACAGTAGGTTTATTTCAGTTTTAATAGCTAAATGTCACATGCTAAAAACACTTAGATCTAGGGACTAAAGAGTATTTATAATTTTAAAAAGTTCTGAGATAAAAATGTTAGGCCATTAAAAAAAGGACAATCAAAACTTTTAACTAATTAGTTTTCAAATACTAGAGAATATTTACTCTTTATTTTAAAGTGATGGCATTTATATATTCTCTTCTATTCTTCTAGCTAGAGCAATTATGAATCAGAAACATACAGTAACTGGTGCCACAGGTGAATAGAGAGGTTCCAACACAGGCAATGGTATTTCTCCAGGTAATCTGGTATTTTAATTCACTTACAGTTAAATTCAACCTGGGCAGCAAAGTCCATAAAGACTAATGAGTTCAACGGAAAAAAAATTTTAAATGTGTTTTTTAAAAAAATTACATGACTAAAGGGTAAGATAATACTGTCTGTCGAAATCAGTACTCTTGGTATACTTTGTGAAGGGTATTACATAACAAAATAGACTAAGGACCTATCCTAAGGAGTATCTTCCCATAGGGGCCACTGCACTAGAAAATGCCAGGGGTTGACTTTCACATTGTTTTTTACAAGAATGGTGTTCCCCATGTTGTGCTGTGAATGGAGGCATACAGCAGTCCTGCTACAATGTGTTGGATATGATACACTTGATATCTCAGAACAAAACTGGGAAAACGTGGTGTCACTCCTGTAGTTCATTATTTAACCAAAGATACCTATATATTGGTTTGAATATAAATTACTTATCATACAATAATTAATTGTAAATGTGACAGAAACCACTGGCTAAACAGGAGCACCTGATAATCTAATTACCTGAGTATGTCCTGTAAGAAGATATAAGTCTCTCCCCCCAATTTTCACTTGTATGTCCTGGATCTGAATCTACAGAATGAAAAGAGACAGGAGAAAAGAAAAAAGCACACGAAGGGAAATGCAGAATTCAACAAACCAACATTTTCAAAAGACCACCAGTTAACGATCTATTGCTGTTTTTCCAAAAGATTATTTTTAAGATAAAGCCAAAAGTACGTTTAAAATACAGATATGGCCAACACCTAAGATTTCAGTATCTTAAAGTTGAGAAATTCAACCATGCAGTTTCAATAATAGATATTACTGATGTTTTTATTATAGCATACCATCTCTTTTGACACTATATATTTTTAAATCTCTGACAAGCAATAAAAGAGGTAGTAGTACTCTATCACTGGATTTCTGGTTAGAATTTGTCTTCAGAAAACTTGAATTACCCTTTTTGTTCTATGAGGGTCAAAACTACTCCACAGACAATAGGAGACTTTGGACTGCAATTATCATCCTGGATTACAGACTTTTCTATCAATTATATACATCTCAAATGGTGTAAATTACTACAGTGATCACCACTACAGAAGACCTCTTAGAAAGAAAGTAGCCTAAATCAAAACAAAGTTTATCAGTTAAGAATATAGAATTCTGTCTAACAATTCATGATAGAGAAATAAGAATATGGAGAATTGACTTCAGTGATGTGGCCAGAGCAGATACTTCTACTTATTAAAAAATATGCCAGTTCAACTCACAATAACATTATTCTGATCTTCATATCCTCAACTTATTGACATATACCTTTTGAGGATCACTATTATAGACAGTATTCATGATTTCAGTAATCAAGTGTTCGAAAAGAAAGCTTAGAGAACAAGTAACTCCTAAACACAGTATTTGAAAAGATAAGCCTAAAAGTTTAGTGATAAAAAGGTTCACTCAATTAAAAAGGTAATCATAAATAACATTTTTTAGACCAATTCTGAAGTGGGTAAATGGATTGAACGGCAAGACTTTCAATAAACACATATTTCAAAACTGAATACCTTAAGTTAGCAAATACAAAAGAATCCCATGAAAAACATTTGACATTTTATTTAAAAACACACAAGAATTTAAAATGACCTCCACAGATTGCAAAGAAAGTGGCAGCCAATAAATTGTGCCAATTATTAATAGGCTAAATGGATTATTGAAAGTAGATCATGCTATTTTAACAGATTAAACCACAGTGGATAAACTGAACTTACAATTATATTCATTAATATAGGGAAGTAGTTTAACAGTTTATCTAAATCTTTCTTTGGAAGTACCAAGTCATCCTGACCCCACATACCCTTTGGCTTTTATTCAGGTAAGTAGGTTTATAGCTGGGACATCTGAATATGTACTCTATAAAAATTTAACTCAGGAGCTGGAAAATTAAAGCTTCCACATCCTGTCCCTTTACTCAATTACTTCTTCCCTCTATGCTATACTGAGGTGAGGCTGAATGAGACTACTGCTATTAGTGAGACGTAAAACACTGAGTACTAAGCAGAGCAATCCTCTCTCCCTGATATGTTCTTTTATAGCAGGGCAAGACAAGCAACACCTGTTTTTGTTTTTTTTTTGGAGACAGAGTCTTGCTCTGTTGTTCTGGCTAGACTAGAGTGCAGTGGAGTCATCACAGCTCACTGCAACCTCAAACTCATGGGCTCAAGGGATCCTCCTGCCTCAGCTTCCTGAGTAGCTGGGACTACACAGGCACACCACCACACCTGGATAATCTTTTCTATTTTTAGTAGAGATGGGGTCTCACTCTTGTCTAGGCTGGTCTCAAACTCGTGACCTCAAGTGATCCTCCAATCTGGGCCTCCCAGAGTGCTAGGATTACAGGTGTGAGCCACCATGCCCGGCCAGTACCTGTATTTTAAAAACAATCTTTATAAGTTAATATTCTGCTTTGGGTTGAAAGATAGTAAGAAAAAAATACCAAGAATGATCTAAAAAGTTTGCACTACATGTTTGAAACCGTTATAATAAAGTATGAGGGAGGGAACAGGGGTAAATGTGTAATAAATAATTGCTATGAAAACCACCAAAGATGATCATTTTTATTAAGCATAGCATTGATTTTATCTATTTTAACATAGTTTCTGGAAAAATTATATCTATTTGTCTTCTTTTTAAAAGAAGTTCCTCTCTCCAAACCTGTTTGGGTCACATTAAATAAGGTAAATACTTTAATGGCATCTAAAGTCTTAGGAAAAATAGAACTTCTAAGGCTGGCTGGTGAAGATTTAGTTTCTTAAATTTCAACATACTCTACAACTGCAACCATGGACTTTGGAAACAGATCATACTATGCCTCTTTGAATTTTCTCATACCACATTATCTAAAAACACTCCCCCCAAAATGAAAAAGCAAATAAATAATGCTTACTAATAGAAAATACTAAAAAAAAAAAAAAGTGAAGAATATTTCACTTTCTAGTTATCTAAACATGCAAACTGAAATGATGATGTAAAAAGGTCACAATTCTCTGAAGTTGATATTATTATATGTACTTTTCCAGAGGAAGAAACTCAAACTCATAAATCAGTCAAATTATTTGGCCAGGGCTTGTAGAGGGATGGGGAGGGGGTCAACACCAGTCAGACTCCAAAATCTTCAATAATAAACACTATGCTATGATTACCCCTAACATAACTATGATAACTTACCCTATCAGGATTATAGACTAGGAGAGATTGAAAGTAAAAGGTAAAAATAAGTCTCAAAGGAAGCTGATGTAGTAGGTATAAAAACCATCTTTTAGATAAGTAGCTTCTTTTATGCTTCCATAGTGTCAATGGGTCATTGTATCTACTGGCTTCTTAATATTCCATAGGACAAAAATTATGGGAATTCTCTCATGGGATAGGACAATGTGGGACAGACACTGGAATGATATAAGCAATTACCCTGGTGATTTGCTGAAATAAAGTAATTCAGAATGAATACAGTACAATGATGCAGCTACAAAGACCCACTGGCATGATTTCAAATTATGCTATTAATTCCCTCCCACCTTTTTTTTTTCTAAGAGACAGGGTGTTACTCCATCACCCAGGCTGGAGTGCAGTGGCGTGATCACGGCTCATTGCAGCCTTGAACTCCTGGGCTCAAGCCATCCTCTGACCTCAGCCTCCTGAGTAGCTGGGACTATGAGCACATGCCACCATGCCCACCTAATTTTTTTATTTTTATAGAGATGGAGTTTTGCTTTGTTGTCCAGGCTGGTCTCCAACTTCTGACCTCAAGCGATACTCCCAAAGCACTGGAATTATAGGTAGGAGCCACCGTGCCTGGACCCAAATTTTATTTGTCTAGTCAAGCACTTACTTTTCTATGAAGTTTTTTTTTTTTTTTTCAAAATTAGTAAGTACTAAAAAATTGAGAATTTAGAAAGTTTTAGACACACCAGGGTATCTCAAAATGAACACTTAAGAATCCCTTACACAGTAGAAAGCATGACTGCTGATGTGGGGGCCAAGTGGGCCTTTCTTGGATAATGATATGAATACCCTTTTTAAAAAGTAATGACTTATAAAGTAATATATGTCCATTATTTCAAAAATGCAAACCATACAAAAAGCACAAAGAAGAAAGTAACAAATATCCCATATCCTGTCAAGTGTTACTATCTGGTGAGCATCATCCCAAGCATCCTTCTAAATATATTAAATATGCACAAAGGAACTAGCAGAGACAGAAATAAACTCATGTATGAAAAGGAAAATAACATATACATGCTATTTTTATTTTTTTTGGAGACAGAGTATTGCTCTGTTGCCTGGGGTAGAGTGCAGTGGCATCGTCGTATCTCACTGCAACCTCCAACTACTGGGCTCAAAGTGATTTTTCTGCCTCAGTCTCCCAAGTAGCTGGGACTAGAGGCACGTGTCATCATGCCCAGCTAATTTTTTTTTTTTTTTTTTTTGGTAGAGATGGGGTCTCACTATGTTGCTCAGGCTACCCCTCGAACTCCTGGGCCCAAGTGATCCTCCCACCTCGGTCTCCCAAAGTGCTGCAATTACAGGTGTGAGCCACCACACCCAGGCTGTATGCTATTTTTAAATAAAAACCTTTAAAATTAAATTATTTTAATCTAACAGAAAAAGAAAAGAAAGGAACTGCTTCTTCTCTATAAAACATATCATATACTAAGATATAAACAAAAATATAAATGAGGGAATTTTAAAGAAACATTTAAAAAGTAGTCATTTTAAGAAACTATGTATTTCAGTTTAGATAGTATCAGTTAATCCCTTGCTTACAAGGGATGATTAGCTGAATAACATTATTAACGTTTCCTCCTTATTCCCCAGTCAGGGTTTATAACATTTGCATTTTGTTCTGAATCCAAAATAAACCCACCAGGTGTAGGCTTAGTTCCTACAGTGACAACAGTCTTTTATATTTAAACAGTCTTATTTTATCTTTCCGTACATGTGTTAGTATGTCATGTGTGTATATATATTAATACATAGTGATAAACATACAAATTACAATTTTTAATGCAATCAAATAGTACATACTATTTCATAATCTAGTTTTTCATTTCCAATACCATTAACATCTTTCCATGTTATATATTCTTCTACAATGTTATTTTTAAGGGTGGAAATTGTTATTTCTTCATTAGATTTACCATAAGTTAACGAATCCTGTATTACTTACCACTATTTTCCTGATTTTTTTGCCATTATAAACAAGGCTGAGATAAACATCCTTAAACATGTTTGTTCTCATCAAGAATGGCACTTATATAGAATAAGTGCCAAAAGAAGGATTAGTAAAATGTCAAAAAACTTAGTTTTTTATGTATGTTGTCATATTTAACCTTGAACAAGGTATTTCTATAATTTAGACCAATTAAAGCAAACTCCTGTTTCCAACCCGTAACCACTGGGTATGATTTGGACCAATAACAATGTTGTCAGTCAACATAAATTGTACTCTTTGATTACTATTAGTGTATTTGTTTATAAATTTCTTTGCCAACTGTATTTCTGTTATTCTGAACTATCTGCTTGTATCTTTTGTCCATTTTTGTATTCTTTTCACATTTAAGAGATCTTTAATACTACACTCATTAGGATAAAGGTTTTGATATATGTTGCAAATATTTCCCCCCTTTACGTCTTCATTCACAGTTTCAGCCAATAGTTTAAAATACAGCACACTCCATTAAAAAGATCAATGTCAAACATGGAGTTTGATGTTATACTTATCTTTCATATAGAAAATATCACTTAATTGTACTCTGGATTCTATTTTTTTTAAAAAACCTAAAAAGAAAAAAACAGTGATGTCCTTTTCTAACCTGTTAAGTCTGTACTGACTACCTAGACAGAAAAGTAACATTTAAATCAAGCATTAAATGACTAGAGACAGTCTACTTAGCACATACTGCTTTTCTGATATCATTAGCAAGTAGGTAGCAGATTAAAATTTTAACAAAAATACCAGACAGACAATAGTAGATATAATCTAACTCAATTTGGATAAAGGTACTATATCTATGCCTAATTTGATTTGCTATTCATCATTACAGAGGAGTAGAAAGGATGAGTAGAAAGTCAAATCAGGGATAGATCCAGTCACTAACAGAGTGAGCCATGCCAGAACACATTAAGAACAACATGTGCTATGAACGTTTGAGCAGTAAAACTCACTTAAAACAGCATTGACAAAAGAGTCAATAATGTAGATTTTATAAAGACAGCTAAATTGTTGCTCCTAACTAGTGTTCAAGGAAGTGGTATGTGAAAAGACAAAATTTGAATTACAAAAAGATGCATAACTTTGTTCTTCCAGGAGATGGCACAATAAGGAAAAAAAGGAAGGGGGAAAAGATACACAAATATACAGCTGAAAATTTTCCTACGCTGATTTAGAAAAA